GGGGTTGCGGCCCGTTCCTCTGAAGTTATCCTCGTTTAAGGTGAGTGGATGGTCCTGCATTAAACTATTTCCCTAACTACCATTCAGATTTCTTTATTTTAACTTCATAAGACGTGCTCTCAATCCCAAAAGTGTTTTAAGAGTTACCAAATGGCGGTTTTTTGGCTCTTATTTTTTGAGAGCAAGAGATGATTTTTGCCAGCATACTTCCTAGTACTGTGACTCACAAACAGCTTCACACTCTTGTGTAGAAGCCACTGTTTAAAATCTAAATCTGTCACATATATGTGACTAGGTAAGTATCTTAATATTTAAATATTTATATTTTGACACGTGACTAAGCAGCAATCTTGCAAAATGATCCAGAAAGAAGCACAACCTTTTTGTCTCAAATTGTGCTAAACCAAATCCACCGAGGATCTAGTCTGTTTTGAGCAGCACAGTGGAAGACTTTAGGCTTAAAAATTCCACTCTGTACTTCCACTTGGTTAGTATATGAGCTTTTGTATTCTTTGAAACTGGAGATTCATATTGCCTGAATCTATTTGGACCTTAATTTTAGCAAAGAGGAAATTACAGCTTTTCTTTTATGTGGATGCATTATTTCATTAATCTTCTGTATTTTTCTGTTAATGGCTATTAACTGATGTCTATGGTTTTATAGATTACATGAAATCATTACAACAGAACTATTTCTAAATTAAAGCTTGATTTGCAATCCCATTTTTAAAAATGAAAAAATTCATTTTCCCCTTTAATGTGGAGTAGGTGGGTTTTTTTTAATCTACAAGTAAAATAGGATAGTGAAGTTGCTGATGAAATTGTGACAGTAATCAACTATAAAAAGAAAAACGTTTTCACTCCTTGTGATTTAAATCACATCTTCAAATTGGCTTATTGTACAACAGATGAAATATTTCGGGAAAGGTGAAATTAGCTGAAGTTTAAAAAGTCCTTTCAGTTTCAGGAAAAATTTAGAGCAGTGCTCTATAGTACAGAAAACAAAAAAAATCACAAAGCGTATGAAAGTATTATAACACTTTACAAAAGCTCACATAACTAGAAAACACAGTAAACATCAAAGGAAACATTTGGAGGGGGTATTTGTGTAAGTAAAGGGTGGAAGGTTGTATTTGGGGATGCTTAGCAGTAACTAGTCCTTTTTGGTTTTGTGTTGGGTTGTTTTTTTTTTTCCTAGCTCTTTTGCTTCTGCTTTCTAAAACCAAAATGTCTGAAGTCAAGCAGAGGAAAAAAGATATTTCTTCATCTAAGACCAATGAGGGTTCACGAAAGGTTGAGAAGCACAGTAACTGTGGGAAGTTGGCAAGTCCCAGGACCAGCAATGATCAGAATTCTTTTTGGATGGACTCACGGACCACCTTAAGCATATTTTCCCTTGCCGCCTGCCTGGTGCTGGCCTGGTAGGTAACCCTCTGAAGTGGATTTTAATATTTTCTTTTGCATTCTATACCGTATTCCAGCACAGGCAATACGATTAGTTACACTTGAACGTAGTGTTTGGGTTAATGACTGTAGAAATTTGTTAAAGCTAGAAGGATCAAGAAAAGAATAGCAGTATTTGCAAGCATGGAAACATTGGTATAGAGTGATGGATTATAGAAGCTTGACCTGTTCTATCATGTTGAAAGTTTAAAAGGTGTCTTGCTCGTGAATTGTAAATACCTGCTTTGGAGACTACATCTAACTGTGAAGAGCAACTTAATGTGACAAGGTGGCCAACAAGGCTCATTTGGCAGCTAGTAAATAATTCAACAGTAGAAGTGAAGCAGAGTTTTCCGTAAATAATTTGCTCAGCGGTGTGGTAAAGCATTCATCAGGAGCAGTCTTCAAGTAAAGCTCAAATATCT